GCTTTGGTGCCCTTTACTATCAGTTTTTGCTAAGAGATCACACTGAATATCAGGGTATCAACCCCTTTCATTCCTATATATTCTTTCCATCTGATTAAGATTGATTCTTCCTTTGTTGTTTTAACATGCAGATTTATTTCAGATGAGTGATAGCAAGGTTCTCCTATAGTTTGCTTTTCTTTTAGGCTGTGTAGCTATCTATATGTCTTAGTTTCTCCTCCTTAATGGTTCATTTCTGTATTCATGCAAGCATACATGCACACATGCATGTGTTTCCCTTTTTTCCTGTGACATTGCAGCACCGTCCTCCACTGGGGACCATCTGACCTATATTCAGATCTCACCCAATGAATAGCCTTGATTCTTGCTGTGCTCTTCATCTTTAGAGAGTTTTCCCTCAGAGAGGTTTGTTACATTTCACCAGCCACCTGGTAAGAGATGGAAATTAAAACCTGGGACAAAGCAGATAACATCAATTGACACACTAGTGACCCTGCAGCTCCCACCAGGCTGGATGCTCAAAGCCCAGCTGGTACCATGACTCAACAGCACTTTTCCCCTGAGGATTCCTGTGCACAGATGCATGCATCTGTGGCCACCAGACATATTTATTATGGGCCCCAGGTGACTTTTGAGCTCAGACCTTTGGATAGGCTCCAATGAGCAATTTTCCCTGCTGTTAAGGAGGCTTCATACTGCAGTTAGGATCTCATCTTCACAAGAAGTAAAAACATTGGTCTCCAGAGATTTCAGTGGCTCTATGAGTAGCAAAACAAATCCCAACTTCTTTGTTAGCTAGTCTCAGTGACTAGGAAACCTAAAAATGATTGGCATACTCATTCTGAAATGCTATAATGTCTGCTTGCCTCACACAAATGAGATTCCATTCCAGTCAGCTACTGCATATTTATGCTCAGCTTTTCATTAACTTGTTGATCATGTGATGATATGTTATTCTTTGCTACCTTTGGGGAAATAAAAAAATGGGGGGAAAATGGGATCTAATGGTGGGGCTGTTTCATGCTTCCTGAATATTCAGTCCAATCCTCCTGGTCTTTTTCTGTCCTCCTTTCTCCCCAAAAGCTTCAAGGATCTCCAAAGATATCCCATAAGAGAGGGATGGGGACTACCACTCCCCAGAAAGCCCCTGAGGCTATCATTATATGACGTGTAATTATACAGCTAAATCAAGGTCAAGCTTCTCCCTTTAAGGGTAAAATATGGTATTACACTCTAAATTCCTGTACTGCAAAAACAAACAGTGCCATCAATTCATTTCCAGTCAGACCTCCCCCCCCCCTTGGGAAAACTATACAGAACTTTCTGGTGGGAAAAATAGTTTGGAAATGCAACCTCTTTATTAGAGTGAAAGCACTTCCTTCATTCAGCTTGTCTTTCATTAGCAACCCTGGTACACTCCAGTGAGGAATGTGGCTTGAAGAGGTACTTTGAGGTCACAAGAGACAAGCCCCAAAGGGGGGGTAGTCCACCCTTGGCATATACTTGTAACTCCTGACAACCTTATGAGGTCTGATCCAAAGCTAAGTAGCCACATGGCTACTTAGAGCCATTCATGGCTCTAAGGAGAGTGGCTTTTTAAGGAAGGATTCCATTACCTTGCACACAAATTAAATGTTTCTGTTCTCTGTTTTCTTTGAGCTCTCTTACTGTTTAAATTTCTTCCTATTTTTCACCCTTCTCTTTGAAACACAGAGGAAGGAGGTGAGGAGGAAAAGAAGGTTTTTTAATTAATGTGTTTCCTTACTTTGACACTGGCATATTGGATGTGGGGTTGAGTAAAACTGCATTCCTATCCATGGTTCCTCTCTACCATGCAGCTAAGAGTTACAAGAGGAAGTGTTCTCTGAGTCCACCTTACAGCCACACAATGACATACCACAGCAATGCTCTTTCTGTGATCCTAGACCAAACCAGCCCGTGACTTTCAAGCAAGGAGCTGGTTGATGAGACTCAGCAAGAGCATTCTGGGACAAAGAGCTCACAGTGTAAATCCAGAGCAACTCCACAAAAGTTAGCAGAGTGACTCCATCTATGCTGTGGTGTCACAAAGGTTAGAGCAGCTATTTATGATAGCAATGAAAAAGGGAGCTTTTTTTTCCAGCCCTGAGTCTCTCCTGAGATGTGCCAGCTGTGTCAGTGCAGTGTCATTGTTTCCACTGAGAGTACATTACTGCAACTAGGAGCAAAATTTAATTCACTGCCTTCAGTGGTCATCTGAGGACAGGATTTGATGCTGCTTGTCACCTGTTGATTTCACACCAACAGCAAATACTGTTTTACCAGCAGCAATGGCTACTGGGCTCTATGCCTGGAGTTACTCAGCACAAATAAATTGTGAAATTTTGAATCTGGTTACCCCAAAAACTTTCTTTAAAATATGATATCAGCATAGTAAACACAAACACCTATCCATCACCACAGATATAAAAACGGGTACTCATCATTTTCATGGGCAAAACCTGAAGAACATGTTTTGGATCTTCACCCTTGCAGCTGCCCAAAAGCAAACTGTTTTTTCTGAAGTTGTTCGGGTTCC